GGGAGTTTCACAATAAAAGCTTTTATTTCCTGTCTGATCATCAGCAGGGTGGGAGTTTCACAATAAAAGCTTTTATTTCCTGTCTGATCATCAGCAGGGTGGGAGTTTCACAATAAAAGCTTTTATTTCCTGTCTGATCATCAGCAGGGGGAGAGTTTCAAGTTTTTATTTTCCTTAAGTTGACGGAGAAAAGCCTAAATATCGAAACTGACCGTAAACACTTTGTAGGTACGAGTGTGTGTGTTTGTGTGCGTGCGTGTGCTTGTGTGTGCGTGCGCGGTTGTGTGCGTGTGTAAATACTTTATTTATGTGTTTTCTTCTTGCTGGAACAAACAGGAAGTTCTTTAGTGACTATAAACTACTGAGCAGAAAATTTATATTTCCAACTTTAATTTAAATGATTTTTTGTCAGTATGGATTCATTTGCAGATTTTTTTTCTTGGTGCTTAAATTTAAATTTATTATTTTTTAAATTTTTATTTATGGATTCATTTTCTAAATAAAATAACAAAAAAAATGCATGAATGGAAAAATGCAAAATATTAAATTACAAACCATGAAATAAATAAAATCTGGAAATGCTAAACAACAATAATATATAATGTTTCCATTTCTTAGTTAGACTAAAAGATCAAGAAGATTAAAGATCTAAAGACACATTTTATTTTGAAGGCAGCAGATTTCCTGAATTTAGATATTTTCTGCTCCGTGGTTTAGTCGCTGCTCTTCCTCTCGTCGCTGGAGTCCGTCCTCTTTCCACATTCCTGTTCTAACCTAAAGTTTATGAATTATTATCTTTCTTTGTTTTTGTTCAGAAGTGTTTCATATTTTTGTTAAAGGAAATGAACATTAAATAAGGCTGGGGCTTCTGGGTGATGAAGTTTTCTGCTGCTGCCACTTGGAGACGAGTCTATTCCGACACTTAGTTTCAAATTAAAAATAACGTTATAAGTGGGGGGTTGTGTGGATTCAGTGTTTCTGAAAGCCTCACGATTACTGGCAGGAAGTGGTCACCAGGTGGCAGTAGAGAGAAAACTGCTCTTCTTCTTCACGGTTTTATAAATATTGTGTATAAATGTTTAATAATGCTGACATTATTTTTGAAATGCAACTTTTTTTGAAACCCTGATCAATAATCTGTGTCCCGATCGCACTGAGGGGAAACTTGAAGATTTATTTTTTGAGTTTGTTTTAAGTTTTTTTTGTTTTGTAAAGTTTTCCAGCTGTTTGTGAAACGCTGGAACCTGATGCTGGATCAATGTGTGGGTCATCGGACTAAGAACCCTTTAAAAACTCTTTAAAACGATGATGTAGAAACCAAGGTTTCAAAGGTACTGAGAGAACTGAAACTACGGAGGCTTCGAACCATATTTAATGTGTTTGTTTACGCCATGGTCCGAAGTACGTTGTCATGTGACCTCGCCGTGAGAGTTTCTCAACACTCGATTTGATAAACACTAACTTTGTTGTTCGACTTCAAGGACTTCTCCAATAAGACCATCTTAAATCAGTTTTCCACTTTTGACGTCCGACATAAACCACATCGGAGCTTTTTGTTTAAACTCCCGGTCACAGACAGGAGTCAGTTCATGGACTACATTTCCCATCAGGCCTTGTAACGCCTCAAGCTGAGTCCCAACGCTCCACTCACAAACACTTCACACCTTTAGCAGCAACGTGGTGAATTCAAACAAAACCACGTGGTTACGTTTAGAGGGACATCACGGTTTGGGTTCAAATAAGTGAGTTTGTCTGGAGAACTAAGTTACGTTAGTAACCTAAGCTTTAATACGCGGGACATCAGCGCTCCTCCCTATGCAGACTTTATAACTCTTCCATAGCTATGGATGCATTAAGAGGTTAACAAACACGTAACTAGCCATTCTTCTTGTGGATATGCAGGAATTCAAATGGTCAAATCTGAAACTCGTCCACATGGAAACACGATTTTATGGAGTTTTGAAAAATGTACGTTTTGCTGAAACAGGAAAATATCCTTCTTTGTTAGAGCTTAGCAGACAGCAGGTATTTAGATTAAGGAAAACATCACGGTTTGCGCTGACATCAGTGAGCTTGTTACGAGAACTAAGTTACGTTAGTAACCTAAATTGGTTTGACGCGGGACGTTCACATTTGATCTGTTTGTGGACGCAGCAAAAACAAACGTAGTCCGCCGCAGAAGAAGGGTCTGACCCGAAAGCTTTACGTGTTTAGGTTCAGAAAACATCAGTTTGGGGTGAAAAGTGTTTGTGACGTTCAAACCTAAGTCTTAAATGCGTTAAACGAGGCGCTTGTTTTCCCGCCCGTGTGTTAGGAAGATCCAGGAAACGTAATACCTCCAAAACCCAACTTTCATAGGAAGTTAATTCCGTGTTACACATCGATGATCAACTCCTTTTACTTTGGAAAACCCGCACATTTCCCGAACACTCCTCGACTCTGAGAGAACGTTGGAGACGAGAACGGGACGTCGCTCCTCTTCGTCTCCAATAACCTCGTGTCGTATTTACTCCTCTAATATCCAGTTGTGTATTCGGGTGTATTTGTCGCTCTGCAATGTAAGCAGCATAGGATGAACCGTCTAAGAGTCATGGCCGCTTCCAGCTGTGTCCGTGTTTGTAAATAAAGTTGAAGCCATCCTGAAGTCGGCCGGACGTTTAGCTGCTGGTTAGATTTAAAGCAGACGTTATTTATTCTTTAGTTTCTGTGAATGTTTGTTTTGTTGATAGCTGTACATACCCTCCACTTCCTGTGAGGCCCGTAGTGAAACACAGACTTCCTGTTTGTACCATGTTGAAGGCTTAGAGGCAAAAATAAAAACATTTCAAAAACAACAAGAGTCAGTTTTTATTTAAAGTCTCAGAAACAGTTGCAGCGCTCGTCTCGTTAAATACAGAATATACTCTTTCACACAGTATTAGTAAAAACATGTTCATCTGAAAGTAACGGAGAAATTATCTTTAAGTCCTCATTAATTAAACATCTTAATGTTTTAAATCAAAGCTCAAATAAAAAACACTCAAAATGAAGTCGTTTATCTGAGTTATTATATATTTTATCTTTCAACTTCATTTAACGTTTGGATTTAATATCATCTTTTTAACTTGTTTTGTTGAATTGACTTTTAGCTTTTAACTAACTCTTAAACAAAGCCAATATTTGTATTAAAGGAATTCATTGTAATCTTCACAATAAAAGCCCACAATGTTGAGTTTTTAATAACAATTTTACTTTTATAATATTTCCACACTTTTTGAGACTTTCTTACGAACCGTGTTCCGCACCAATGAAGTCCGTGCTGCATTCATGAACCAACACAAAAACTGGAAATCTCACTACTTTCCTAGGAACTGAAGATGCAAGCTTTGTAAACAGTTATAGTTCATGTTAAAATGTGTACTGTATCTTTAAAAACTGAAATTCCTTTTTTAAATGTTAAAAAGGTGGGTTTTTTGGGGTAAAACGCTAAAACTTCTGACGTCACAGGAGTTACCATCTATGGGTCCGACTCCAGGTCCTGGAGAGGACAGAAACCACGTCTTGTTCCTAAAGGGTTCTGGTTCTTGAATAGTCCAGTTCCTAAAGACACCTGGTTCCTAAAGAGTCCAGTTCTTGAAGAGTTCTGGTTCCTAAAGAGTCCTGGTTCTTGAAGAGTCCAGTTCCTAAAGAGTTCCGGTTCCTAAAGAGTTCTGGTTCTTGAAGAGTCCAGTTCTTGAAGAGTCCTGGTTCCTAAAGAGTTCTGGTTCCTAAAGAGTTCTGGTACCGAAACTGCTCGTCACTGATTGGCCACAGGCGGCTCCTCCTCTTCATCCATTGGCTGGCTGCCGAAGCCGCTGTCAACCGTGGCGTCTGATTGGACGGGGGAAAAAAAGGTGAGGAGGGGGTGTGTGTGTGTGGGTGTGTGTGGGTGTGTGTTTGTGTGTGTGTGTACCTGTGTTGTGTTTGTCCTCCTGCAGCTGTTTGTCTCTCAGCAGTCGAACTCCTTCTGTCAGACCGAGAGACTGAAGAGCTTCAACCAGAGCAGAGAGCGCACCCCCCCCCAGCTACACACACACACACACACACACACACACACACACACACAGGTTAGGACAAATGCAGGTTA